TGTTTTTTGAGATTTATTTTACTTCTCTTTATCTTCCTCTGATTTTTTATTGGCAATAAATTCAATTCATTTCCCCAAGTCTGTTTTGCCCATGACAGTAATCAGTGAGTAACCTCTTCCATTCCTTATCTAAACCTATGACCATTCAGTTAAAATTTCTCTCCCCATGTGGTTGCAGAGAGCAGCTTTGGTGGGTGCCTGGCATCCAGCCAGGATCAAGCCACCATTCTCCAACTTTGCAGCCTCAACTGTTGTATGCAGAAATTGCTTATACTCTCAAAACCATAAAAAAGGATTTGAAGTACAGGAATTGATTTTGCAAACAGGGAAAATTAAACTAGAAACTGGAAGTTTTAAATGTTTTGTCCTCAGCACATGCATTAATTCTATCTATCTATAAAGACATTTCATAATGTGGAACTTCAAATCACTATTTCCTTAAAGACCATTCTATTGATTTCAGAGGTTCAAGCCAGTTGTAATACACCAATGGGACATATTATTAGCTGAGGTAAACTCAAAATGAGACCCAAAGATCTGAGAAGTAATCTGTATTTCTTTAACAAAAGGAGAAAGAAAGCACATCCAAATTACATGGAGGTCCACAGAGGAGGGAATGCAAAATGTTCAGGAGGAACAATAAGATTAGGAAGAAATAGAACATATAACAGTCTGAGTGGTTTTTTTTTGTTTGAAAAATGCTGTTGTTTGATCTGTGTCACAATGCATTTAAGAGTAAAACTACAGAGAAAAAAAAATATGTTCCAATATTAATTTCTAAGATTTCTTAGGTGTTTCACACAAAGAACAAAGGCAAGTTATACATCTCTTCATGGGAAAAATGCATTTATACAATATGGAAAGATACATGTTTATATAATATGGAGACAGGCAAAATGCTCACAGCTAGCCCGATTTCTGAACTATCACATAGTCATGGGTACTGGACTATGCCTTGGAATATATCTGAATCAGCTACTGAATAACTTCTCCAGCACTTTATCTCCCAAAATAAAATAAAAATATTTTAAAAATCTCTAACCTTACTCCTGGAGTCAAAGATTCAGGGATTCAGCTTGTTCTATACACAAATTTGGCTTTGCTTGCCCTGAATAGAATCAGACGTCTCTTCTGACTTTACTAAATGGCCAGCAGGCAAAACAAAGGCTTCAGTTCAAAATCTCATAATTAAACAAAGACTCATAAATATGCAACTAAGGTACTGGTAATCTTAAACCTCCAAACTGTATGAAAAATAAAGGATAAATATGAGAGAAGGATGTTAAAATTTCCAAATATTGCACCTTTTTACAATTACATTCTTGTCAATGAGAGTGAAATCCATCACCTTTAAATCAGGAGTGAGTACTGAGGCACACAGAAGCACCTAACCTTTAATTTCAATAATATGAAGAACAGTTGGTGACCACACAATAAGCTATGGGTTGACCCAAGTCTTACACACAAAGAAATATATTCCTATGATTAGTTAAGATAATTAACATGGTTGTTTGACCTACTGGGAAAAATGCTCTATGTCTACGTAAGCATAAACTGATCTTAACATCACTTTTACTAATCCAGGACTCTTGAACATATTAAATAAAGATATGTTTTATGTATAATATTGTATCTCAAGAATATCTTGGTTGCCATAACACTTGGATCAATGCAAGCTGACCGGAGGGTAAACTTGAAGTTGCTTTCAGTAGTTTTGCTCTGAGCAATCCAGAAAACATATCTCGTCACCTTCAACACAGTGCAATTGTTGCAAAGGACCCATTATTATAGAATCATAGAATATGCTGAGTTGGAAAGGACCCATCTGGATCATGTAGTCCAACAGCTGTCCCTGTGCAGGACACTCCAAGTATCAGAACACATGCCTGAGAGCATTGTACAAATCTTCTTAAAGTCAAACAGGCTGCTGCTGCGACCACTTTGCTGGGGAGCCTATTACAGTGCCCAACCAACTCTGGGTGAAGAATCTCTATTCTTATATCCAATTTAAACCTTCTTCTACTCAGCTTCATGCTATTTCCCAAAGTCCTGTCACTGGACATGTGAGTGAAGGGATGGGTACTTCCTTTTACCCTCATGAGCATGTAGAAGGCCACAAAGAGATTTCCCCTCAGTCTTCTCCTCCAGGCTGAGCAGAAAAAGTGACCTCAGCCACTCCTCATACGTCTTCCCCTCAAAACCCTTCATGATCTTTGTGACCCATTGGACACTCTCTAACAATGAAAGAAAGACAGTTTAATGTCTTTCTTTCATTGTAACATTCAAACCAGCCCCCAGCACTCGGGGCGAGGCTGCCCCAGCTCAGAGCAGAGCAGGACAATCCCTCCCTTGCCCGGCTGGCGATGCTGTGCCTGGTGCCACCCAGGACAGGGCTGGCCCTCCTGGCTGCCAGGGCACTGCTGACTCACATTCAACTTGCCATCAACCAGGACCCCCAGGTCCCTTTCTGCAGGGCTGTTCTGCTGCATCTCATTCTCCAATCTGCATACAAAGCCAGGGTTACCCTGTACCAGGTGCAAAATCCAGCTCTTGCTGTTGTTAAACTACATAAGAAACATACTTCATTTTTTAATCTTCAGGACCTTATATATGGAAGATACATCTTAGGAGACTTCATTTTTTGCAGGTGTGACAAACCATATGTAGATTATTACAGTTGTCTGCTGCACTGCCCCAAATCATGCTGTTCCAGAGACATCTCATGAAAATGTTGGTTTTCTTCCAGGATCATTATGAACTCTCACAAACTACTGAGACCCAAGATTATCATGTTTACAGTATGTCAACCACTTTAGGTAAGTGGTAGCCTGCAGCTCCTACTGCAAATGAATAGAAATAATTTCTAAAATCACATTTTGTATTCTCTGAAGTTTACATTCATTCCCTATAACTAAAGAAATAAGTTTATTTTTCACAAATGTTACAGAGAAAGAATGCCCCACTGTTTTTTCTATAACACTATGGTTTCCCAATCTTTTAAAATAACCTTTATAGAAGCAACAGAAGATCATTGCTTTTAAATGAAGCTCACAATTTATTGTGGCAATTCCATACTCTTTACCATTCTGGACTACTTATGTAGGATGAACTATTGCTGTGATTGATGGCAAGGCAATTTCTCTCCTAAAGCATATAGTTAGGACAAATCTAATTATGGATTTTTTTAATGCAGTACCTTTACTGTCACAAAGATTTGGCAAGCTAACAGGGATACACTCAGACAATAATATTTTGAATTGATTTAAATTTAACACATCCATTTTTCACTGTGAGGAATGCAGGATGAGCATTTATAGTTTAATTTTTTTGGTCGTCCTCAAAAATGCAGTAATTGTAAATATATGGCAAATTTGTTGAAGAAACTGAATGCTGAAGAACATGGTAAAATAAAGTAATTTATATATTAAAGTAATTTAAATATTAAAAATTATTATACCATTTTAGGGTATATAAGAAAAGAGTTAGTTTAACTAAAATTACTCAGGGACACTAGTGCTAGTATAATATATCTATTCTCAAGCCACAGAGAAATAACATCAGTATTTATAGTTTTAGCATTGCAGCTACCTTCAGACTTCCAAGAAAGAATGCCATGAGAATGCAAATGAGTTTGTTTTAGATGCTTAGGAACTCTGTTTATGAGGGAAAGTTTTCTTGGGAAAAAGTATGCTTCATATTTGGACTAAGCCAGAAATCATCCTGCTCGTAAATCCTAGGCCACTATATGCAAAAAACTTTGAATCTTTTTCCCATCCAGATTTTTGTGCTTCCAGTCAAGCTTTTAAAAGATTTGAAAACAGAAAACAAGACTAAAAATAGTCCGTCTCATTAGGCAATCTAGAAATTTGAGAATGCCCTTGGTTTAGGTCAAGAGGTTTAGATGATTGCCTTCTTCAGATCACAAATGACAGTAACGCAGGAACTATCTACTCTATTTCATTTGCTTCAGGACTGCTTCTGGCTCAGAACAGAAAATCAAAGAGAAAAGAAATAGGGAGAAAACCTTCCCCCCAAAAAACCCAAAAGCAGTTGAAAAAATAGGGAGGAAACCTTCTCCAAAAAAACCCCAAAAGCAGTTGAAAATACACCAGAAAGCCAAAACCACATCAAGTTTACATAGATTTGAAGGTCACCGTGCAATGAAACATGAATCTACACTCAACTGTTTTTGAGACTTAGGTGTGATCAAAACCTAACAGAGATGGTGAAAAAGTCCTTCCCTTCATCAACCAGTAGCCTACATGTAGTTTAGAAGAATATCTTACTAATGTAGGTAGAGTAAGTAATTTAAGAGGAGCAATGATAGAGCACCAATGTATAAATAAAGCACAAAGGTAATAAAAAACCAAATTAGGATGTAAATAAATTGGCTGAATGACCAAGAGATCGCCACACACTGTGAAGGGTTGAAAAGTCCCCTTTTCTCCTTGTTAACAGATAAGGAATGCTAAGGTCCCAAGCGATGTAGCAGCTTGATTAATCCTACAGAAGGAATGGCAGGTTTTTCACTTTAGTGCCTCATCTACTGCCATGCAGGTTTCTGATTTACAGGGAAAAATAATCCTCAAAGGTAATGTAATTTGATTGACAGACGTTGAAAACTTTGATGTATCTAAATTAAAAGCTACAAAACTATTTTATACTTGGAGCTTCAAATCAGATATGCTACTGCAGCTAGCTGTAGAGAAAGGTTCAAAAACATATAATAAAATCCTTCAAAAGAGCCCCAAGGGAGCAGCATAAAGTGAGAAAATAACACTTGAGATTATACATCTCTCTCCCTTCTACCCCCTCCCCCCCAAAACAAATCCCAACAAAACAGCAGTAAAAGAAATTAATTCAAGTAAATGAAACCAGATAATTAAAATAAAGACCCTAAAATTGCACAAGTATGGAGGAGAAGAGGGAGTGAGCATGTGAGAGAGACCTGAGGAGGGGAGTCATGAGGAGAGGGGCTGAGGCAGGTCTTCTTTCCTTACTTGGCATAAGCCACTGATGCACATGTCCAGGGATTCAGTGTAGCACCGTGTCCCATCCAGAACTTTTGGTGCCAGCTCCACAACCAGAGCCGTTCCTCTGGCTTGGCACTTCAGTGAGCATGGGTTGTCAGGGTCATTAGACACAGGAAGCCACTCATACAACTGCCCCTGGTACTTGACATCGTTGTGAGCAGAGCACTGCTGGGCACGAAAATCACCTGCTTCTGGCGGGCAGTCCTGCAGAAAAGAAGGAGGAGAAGATCAGCTGGCCTATTCAGGACCGCCAGTTGCAGTATCATGCAGCTGGCGGTGTTCCACAGCTGCCAGATGGAGACAGTTTCTGTTTAGACAAAAAAGACACATTATGATTATACCTTTCTTTCTTCCCTCCATGAAAGTACTGAAAGAACACCAAGACCATATGTAAATGGGAAATGAGAAACGCACTGTACATGTTAACCACAGCCTTGTGGTTAAGCTAAAGAGGGTCACCATGCTCGTGCTGGATCACATTCTACCTGTGCACATATGTGGAAAAACATGTGTGTTCAGCCACTCTGTTCCAGACAGGTTTTACCCTTTGCTTGAGGAGAGAGAAAAAAGAACTATAAAGAAAGATGTGATTTAATTGTTTCTTTATTTAAGCTCTTGCCACTAGCTTTTTTTTTTTTTTCCCCTCAGTGACATAAATCAGTTGCTGTGGCAAAGTGAATCAGAAGCATTTGATACATATTTGCACTTCTTTAAGTTAACATTTCATAGCTCACATAATTAGGGGCTTTCAACTGAGAAGACCTTAAAAAAAATCCCCTTTTTTAATTCTTCAGGAGATTTGTGAGACATATAAATCTAACTCTGACCTCAGTCTGCCGACATAAAAACCAAAGACCACTCCTACTGCATAAAGTACATTGTTGACAAGAATTGTAGGTTTTTCTTACCCACATTTACTTTCATGCTGCCACTCAGCACTAAAGAACATTAGACAGGTTCTCAAGAGAGCAAGAAGGGCTTTAAAATCATGAGTCTTCAGGCAAAATAAACATGAGTTCTTTTTATTTCCTTTCCAGTATTTGATCCTTGAAGAATGATATTTGAAGTCTTCTTTTGCAAGCAACCACAAAAGCTAGGGATTCACTAGGGTTTTCTTAGAAGTAACTTGAATTTCTTGCATTATTACAGGAACATAGGAGCTAAGCTTTACAAAAAAACATTAAACATCTTAAGAACTGAGACAAAAAAAAAAAGCAATATTACTACCTCAGATTATTAAGATCGTGGAGTCCTCCACCTTACTGCCATAAGGAGATCTACTCCTGCTATATCTGGTAAAGTACCAGATAAAATGAAAGTTGATCCCCCTCTGCTTGAGGGCTATAACATTTTTTAAATCCTAAATCATAGACAATCCTACATGTTGATGGTAGGCTTGGTTAGAAGTTTTTGATGTACACACAATCACGTAACTAGACAAAATACTTATAGGACTGTATTATAGATTTGTTGTATTTGCTGTTTACCATGAAACTACTTCTTCCTATTAGAAAATCATTTATGACAACCTTACTCACAGACTACTTATGCTCCCACTCAAGAAAGTCTTATTGCTGTTGAGGGAAAATACATCTTAGATTTAAATAATCACCTATGTTTCTGAGATATTTTCTTACCCCTTCATTCACTAACAGCTTTCTGCATTTTTTTAGAAGGGCAAACTATTACAGCTTTGGATATGAAAGGCATGAAGGCTGCATCTCACTTTGTGATATTAATGGATCATTTTTTATTATTAAAATCTAAAATAAAATCTGTGTTAAAAACTAAGTTTTCAAACCTCCTCTCAAAGGAACACGGCACAGTCTTGGCTATGAATTTGTCATTTGCAAGCCCTTGGCTTAAACCCAGGTTAGCCATTCTGGCCTCTCATTCAGTGTTGGAATCTGATTATGGCTATTTTATTTGAATGTTGAATAATCTTGGATCACAACACTCCAATCCTTTCTTGTTGTCAACTATACACACATACAAGCTGTGGCCTTAGCCACAGATTGTCATCTAATTTTTTTTGTACCATGTGAACAACTTTTCAATTAATTCACTTTCTGTTTGAGTCTGATGCACCCCAAAAGTAAAGGGTAAAACTCCAGCCAAAAGTTCTGTGATCCAAGCAAAAGGTAATAGCTTTCCTATTACAAAAAGTTCAATGGAGTTAAGCATAAGAGAAAAAAGGATGTGGATTAAATCTAGCTCTAGAAAAATATGTATCAAAGAGCAATAACCCAGAGCTAATTTTTCCTTTTTGAAAGTGGAGGTTGAAAGTCCAAGCCTGTAACTGGTATTTTACTGCCAGAGAACTCAGTTTTTCTATCAATATATTACAGAAGATTAAAAAAAAAGCTGCAAGTATTTCAGTTTGATTTTAAAATATAAAGAAAAACTGAGGGGCAATCAGTCTCTTTTTATGATCTGGGCAAACTTTTGATACAAGACAAAGTTTGGACACTGAAGCAAGCAGAAAAATATGTGGGGAATTCATTATTGCTCTATAGCTCTGTAATTAGAGAAAAAGTGGTCTTTATGTTCTGCTCTTATACAAAGGGTGAACAATAAGACAGTTACAGCTTGACCCAAGATCTGCTTTAGTTCTATTTTCAAACAAGAAAAGAAGAACACAGTGGCCTTATTTCCTACCACAAAATCTTCTGGTGCCTACCCTTCTGTGAATTTTTCTGTCTGTAAATGAATACAGTCAGGTCTATTGGCTTGGCAGATACCCAAACCAAGGCTCAGTTGCAGAATCCAAGCCAACTCTCAAGTTCGGTTCAAGCTTGGCTCTACCTTCAGAACTTCCTGGCTTGTAACAGCTTTATTTTTACAAAGAGAAAAAGGCTCAATAAAGCACACGACACACAGAATTCATAATCCTGATTTGTAGAGAACTCAATACTATGTTTGTTTTGTTGGATTTTACTTCTTAATCAAAGAAATAAAAAATGTTCTTCAACATAACAAGCCTTCAGGACACAGCAGGTGACCAGGACTGATGTTAAATACTTCCAGTCTTTGATATTGTGGTCAAAATAAAACAATGGATTTAAATAGCAGAGCTTGTGTTTAACAAAGTTTTCACGTGAAGCTTGAAGCAATTAAGAATACATGCAAGCAGTCAGAAACACAGACACACATACTTATCTAGGCACACAGATGTGAAAAAGGGTCACAGCCTGGTACAGAAACTTTTCTCCGACTGAAACCCTGAATCCTAAATTTACCTGAAGGCATTGGAGATGTCTTTCCCTCAGAAAGTATCTTTTCTTCGGCTTAAAAAAGCACAAGTACTTGCAAGTTCATGTATAATACCTTCACAAGCTGTATAATATTTTTTTATGACAAAATGGACAGTGTTGAGAAAATGTGCAGTCTGAATTCTGAACATTTCTCATTTTTAGAAGCAGGTCACTGAGACCAAAAATATAGGAACTGTACAAAACTTAGCAAATCCATTTTTTTATCTTAAATTTACTATTTTTTGTTTGTATTATATGTCAGTGGAGATCAGAGCCTCTTTGTGCTGACATTTGGACAAACATATGATCAAAGCCCAATATAAGTTTTCAGCCTTTACATAAGTATTCTAGTTGCTGAAACAGGAGATAAGGTAAAACCAGTGGTTTTTTGCGTATATTTTCAAACACTAAATTGCTATTTTCTTCTAAACACTTTGCACACCTTTTTTAGATAAGACCACTTGCTGTTTTGAGGCAGTCTTGCTGTGCCTTATTTATGCTGGCTCCTGGACAGGAGAAACTATAGACTAACTCCAAAATATCTTCTTGAAAAAAATCAGCCTGCTTTTGGTACTTGCATGATGGTTTAGGGGAAGAGGACCTTCTGTGGCTATCAGCTAGCACTGCTCCGTTGTTCTGAGTGAAGTTACATGTTGGTCCAGCTAAGGGTCTGATTCTGGGAGCTTTGTAACAGTATGCAGCTTGTCTACCTGCACAACAGATTGACAGACACTTTGAGACAGCCAGGAATCACAGGCCAAGTCAGTGTAGCAGTGAACATGAGGTAGTGCATCTCTGCATGGGCTATGTGGTTCTGTGAGGAATTTTGTTAACCATATCTGCATGGCCTGTGTTTGGCCTGGAGCATATAGCAGCCCTGGTATCTGGCCACAAAACTACTACAGTCCTGCTTCAGGTTATTCCAATTTTGGTACTATAGCCAAGTCTTACCAGTTTTGTTTTCTTTTGGAAATTATCTATGGGACCCTGCAGATATGAGGAACTGCTGCCATTGTACTCCTTGAAGAATCAGAAAGAACTAATAAACTTGAAAGTTTCATCTAGGTCCATTTATCTTCAAACTTCCTATTCATGAAGACCTTTTAGGGATTAAAAAATTCCAATGAATAGGAAACAACTGTTCCTTCTTTAATTCTGTGAATTCTAGGTGGGTCTTTTATGGCTTTTATCTCATGAGGTCTCATGAGATATTACTGAAACACTGAGCCTGTGCTGGATACCTATAGTCTTATTCATTCTGTCAGGTCAAGATTTCCTGTACTGCAATAAAAATATATATAATTTTAAAGGTGATCAGAAACCCCTTTGATCTGTGAAACCCATTTTAAAATATACACAGGAGTTTCATCCTCACTTCTTAGGCATGTAATGTGGCCCATATTATTATGGCTTCATTTTCTTCCTCACATTGATTTTATTTTTTTTTTAACTTGACCTCCTATTTTACCCTATTGTAATTCATAAGGTCCATGGAGTTTTGCCATGTTTGAATCCCATTCAAAACATTTTCCATTAATCAACAATCCGGTGGAAAAGATAAGATGAATCCCAGATGTCCCTTGATGGTGATAGGTAGATCAGATTTCATGGGACAAAAGAGGGTCAGCCTTTTTAAAGTTTACTTAGTGGGTGAAATGTAGAAGATCCTATCTAAGCAGCAATAGGTGGAAACAGTTGAAGAACTTTAAAACAGTTTACAATATACGTGCTTGTATATTTGCAGAGGCCAAGAATGATTTACTATACCTGGAGCCCTTCCTCTGTACAAAAAATTACTAACAACTGGACTACTCTGTGCAGCATCTGACAGAACAGCTTATTGAACCAGTTCCATGAAGTACTCCGATGCTGCATCTGCACCAATTTCCCTACTGAGAAAGAAAACCTGAAGTCCTCAAGTACGGGCTTGTCTAAGACCAAATAAGAACT